TGTACGTAAATGCGGTACGTATGTATCACATACCATATGTACCATACATGAATAATTTTCTATTACATACTACGGTACCAACATGTACCAATGCTGCCTGTAAGCGACACGTGGTTCATTGTATTGTACTATATTATAACTGAACCACTTAGTCGAATAGCAAGGAAGATGAAAGGAGTCGGCAGAAATCCTTTCCGTATACTAGGAGTGTCTCCTTCTGCTTCATTAGAAACAATAAAGAAAGCATTCACTAAATTAGCTCTCCAACACCATCCTGACACCGCAAATACTCGTTCTTACAAGGAGTTCATAATTGTGCGAAATGCATACGAAACAATTCGCGATAGCATAAATACGGGGGATTCGAGGGAGGGAATGAGCAACGTGCGAAGAGAAAATAATTGGAATAGTCAAACGCAAGAGAAGTTTTCAGAAGAAGAATTCCTTGAGCATTTATATCGACAAACGGGGACGAAAATTTCATCTGCGCAAAGGCGAGAGTTGATCAAACTCGATCTGAGCAGGATGCCAGGAGCGACGTATCATGGTCCTGGATGGGACTTTGCACGACGAGTAGCCATCGAGCAGGATCTGTTTATGAAACGGGGGTACGAGTCACAGTTTTCACAAGGGGGAAGCTGGGAAAAGAGAAGCGGTTCAAAGTTTTCATCGGAGCACAAGACTGACAGCAACCAAAGCCACAAAAAGACCGATACGAGACACGACAACCTGCGTAGAAGGCGCCGGCGGTGATTCTGAATCACCAATTTCCGCTACAAAGGAATGCACAAGAAATCCCATTGTTTTGATGAGTTGCAAAGTCTTATTTCATTGTCTCTCAGTAAAAACAAAACCGACGAATCTTTCCAACTCGAATCTTGGTGGAGTGGTTTTCAATTTCTCAATCGAAGCATAGGAGAAGAGTAAATATGAAGTTAAAGAGAACGGAAAGCTACAACGGACATTAAATTTGAAGCAAGATCAATTCATGAATTCTATTTTCAAGCGTGTGTGTTTGGCAAGCAATCGCACTACGGAGTCCGGCTCACGCACTTGATATTTATTGCGTTGATTTCAAGACCTACTATATGCCAGATAATCTTTTTCTTTCTCCATATGATCCAAAAGTGTGGTCGGTTGGACAACTGGAAACTTTAGATTTCAACCATCGACATTGTAGCCCTTTGTCAAAATATTGCTTTTTGTGAATTTTCTTCTTTAAACCTCATCGTCAAAACCGGGAACTCGATCTGAGTTGAAAAAAATTGGAGTCCATTTGGCATCCTTCATTAGAGTACTATCGGTATTTGGAAGGCCAAGAACCTTAGCCACCCTTTCCACTCGTCTTCGTTGATCAAGATTCCCATTGATGCAATTTTTTTGGAGACAAAACGGTGGAGGCGGCAGTGTGACTTCCGCCTCGCATCGCAGGGACACAATGGACGATGAGTCGTCGGAGAACAGCAACTCAATGTCATCTATGGAACCGGGCGATGTTCCCGGCGTGGTTAGATGAATATAGCGATGCTTTGGGTCAATATTTGCAATTGAGAAGAATTGCTGTTGTTTTTGGTCGGCAGACAAATCCCGAACTGCCTGTCGAAATGCAATATCACTGCTTTTCACAAGGGACAATGGCGACACGTATCGATTCGGAGGCTCTCCATAGTTTGAACTGACGCAATTCTTATCGCTAGGGCAGGGTCGGAGCACGTTGTCGGAGGCATCGTAGCCCGTCTGAGCTTCGGCTGGAGGGTTCGAAAGAAGACACGACCCGGTGTAAAAGCATACGGCAACACGGGCGATGGCACTGACTCCAGAGGAAATTCGAGAAACCAGTAGGACCATTCTTCGGTTGTTCTCTCCACTGACTACGAGACCGGTTCCACACCGTTCTGTTCTCGAGGTGTGTTTGTGCGATTCCAGGAATGAGGAGACGGGTACGGTAGCACGAGACGAATTCTTAAGAAAAATTAGCTCGTTCTGTACCGTTACGCGTGCTCGTTCCTTTCAACAAAAACCTTAGTCATCGCGCGCGATTTTCATTCCTCTGAATTTTCGGCGCGCAAAGCTGCTTGTACGTCAACATTAGAAAAGTTACGTACCGTACTGTACCGTACTGTACGGTATGGTAAGACGAGCACGAGCACGAGTACTCGTACCTCCAATGACAGAACGGGTTGGAAAAGTAAAATAATTTTGTCGCATTCAAATGATCCCCCTCCGTTTCGAGCCCAACGATGCTATCATGAGACAACATGCCACCAATCTCTTCGGAAAAAACTCTTCGTCTCTGAACTTCTCTCGACATTCATACCAATTGTTCAGTCAGAAGAATTTTCTGAAATTGGATTTATTGTAGTCAAAGAAAAAGAAAGAAGGGGATCATGGATCTAGGATTTGGAGCTAAGAACCAAGAAATCGGGGAGGCAACGGCCCAAGCCCTCATTCGTGGAGCCGAGGTACAAGAGAAAGGAGTAGAAAACGATCTTGCTCAATACGATCGTCTACTGGAAGATGAGGTAAGCTGCGTCAAAACTGGGTGCAATTGTGCATCTTGTAGCGATTTCTCACTGTTGCGTCGGTACTGAACCACTCCCGATAAAACCGTCGCACCGCTGCGCTTGAATAGGATGCCCTCGAGGACCTTCGGCAAAAACGAATCCAGCAAATGCAAAAGCAATACCTCCAAAACCGCAAGTATAAAGAACTGGGCCATGGGACGTATACAGAATTGGGATCGGGAAGCACACAAGACAGTCGTGACATTGCCAAGGAATTCTTCAAGGCAAGCAAAGAAAGTGATCGAATCGTCTTCCATTTTTACCGTCCAACGACTCGGATATGCGATATATTTCACGCCCACCTGGCCAAGATCGCAGAGAAGCATCTGGAGACAAAATTCGTCAAGGTCAACGTGGAGGGCTGCGATAGCACCGATGGAGGGGGCGCGTCGTTTTTGGTCGAACGGCTGGGAATTGTAATCATGCCAACGCTGGTCTTGGTAAAGGACCGCAAGGCGTTTCATCACATCCGAGGATTCGACGAGCTCGGAGGCCACGAGGATTTTTCGACAAACATGCTTGCCCACGTTCTCGGGGCACACGGTGTCACCGACATACGAGACGACGAAGAAATGTCCGAGGAATTCTTGAAAGAACGAGGAATCAACACGATCCGCATTCGAAAGGGCGCAAAGAAGGGAGGATACTCGAGCTATGACGATGAATTCGATTAATAATAATCGTTGTCCTCTATTGAATTCGAGTACCTTAGTGCTATCTGCGGCTTGTTTTCGCAGGAACAAGCTATGTTTGATTGTGCATTTTCGTTCCTGCCATCTCAAGGGATGCCGGGGTGCATTTCCGGATCATTCTTTTCCTATTTTCGGGCACTGTATACTTTGAGGCTAGAAATTTAGTAAGGGTGGCCATCGTCATCGAGTTCAATCCAGACTTCTCCTCGCCGTTTTCCCATGCTGAAAATTGCGTCGTATTGTGCAAATCGAACGGACGAGTCGCTGCCGCTCGGAACGGCAATTCCGTCTCGTTTCAGGGATTCGCGCAGGGCCCTGTCGGCTTTTCGAACAATTGGAGCAACGCTAGCATCCGAGAAGGTCCCCACGGCAACCACCTTGCTGCCAATGTTTTCGATGTCGCAGCCGTCCCAGAGTGGTTCTTTCGATCGCTCGAGGATTTCTTCCGGGATCGGCTTGGGGGACGATTCACCGGGCAGCGCGTACACGAGAGGCCACGACATGGATTTTTTCGAGTCGTCGTTCGGTACTTCCATCAGAGAGGGTGCCAGAGGCGTCATTCCCTTGGTGAGCGATGCCAGAACGTCGTATCCTTCGTCTCTTCGATCGTATGGAATCGTCGCAGAGGTGTAAATAGGATAGCGTCGCAGTTCGTAATCTTTTCCAATCCGAAGCAGCTCATAGGGCAACTCCAGTCCTGCTGCAACCGCATTGACATTCCCTGGTTTGAGCTGGTCCAGAAAGTGATTCACKGCGATGGATTTGTCCACTTTTCCATAACCTCCCCCACTTTGTATGTTGATAGAATCCCAATAATCGGTTTGGTGGTCGACCACAACTCCTTCCGATCCTCCCGAGGATACCTCGTATACGGAAATTCCCGTGAACCTTGCGGTGGGCTTCCAGGGGATGGCTTTCACGGTTACTCGGAGAGTCCAGCGGGTGATAATATTTGAGATGCTTCGGTCGACGGGATCTACCTCTCCGCCTTCAACTTTGTGGAGGACGATTCCCGCGTCCTGGAATAGAAATTTCCCCAGCAGGGTTCTGCTCGCAAGCATGTCCACGTTGTTTTTGTAATTGTCGACTCCCGCCAGAGACGTCATGGGATCCTCAAAAGAGACGCTGTCGCTGTAGTATTCGCATTGCATGGGATCAAAAAAGGAAATGTATTCCCGTTGCAATACTTTCTTCAGTCGCTGCACCTTGTCAACAAGGGAGGTCGTCGTGGTATCGGATGCAAGATTCAAGGCTGTTCCACCTTCGGCACTCTTCCCGCCCAAGCGGAAAGGAGTTACGCTCGAGCAAGTGAAAGCGTTGATCGAATGCTGTTGGTACAACGGCAGCCACAGCGCCAACCCAAGGAATGACGGTACTTTTCTCATCTTCGAATACTTGCGACAACCTTAACAGAACAGTTATGGAATAACAGTGGTTTTCACTTCCGTAGGAAAAAATATTTCCAAGTAAATCTTTCGTTCCTCTCGTTGCATTAATTTTATAGCGTGCTTTTTTCCTGACTGTGTCCGACTGACGAATGCTGGTTTCTAAAAAGGGAAGTGTGGTCGACTGAAAAGGGGGGTGCAATACACAAAACGTGCAAAACGAAGTACGGTATCGTACGTATGGTACCAAGTACTCGTACCTCTCGGTTGCCAGGCAAGGCCAGGGGTCCAAATTCCAAATTAGAAGTATTGTTTACGATACGATGACCCCTGTCGGTACGTTCATATGAGTAGTACATACGTACCTTAGGGTACGACATGATCGAGTTTAGCACAGCACATGTACGTACCGTACCGTCCGGTACCACCGTACGGTACCGTGCGGTAGGTAGTAGGTAGGTGTCAGGGGTCATGACCGACCCCTGCTACTAGTTACGTACCGTCCGGCACGTACTGTACTCGGGATGAAGCCTGAGATCTATGACTAGGTTCAATCAAACTTGTTCGACCCCTTTTGATGCCTTTCATGAAACCGGCATCTCAGTTGGTTCGATCGAACCGTGCCGTTCGAGTACCAGGTACGAGTACTACCGTACGGTACGGTGCGTAGCCTACTCTATCTTTTGAATAGTAAAGTACGGGCTCGTACAGCTGCAGTACTTACTCGTACCAGTCAAAACATCGATTGGAAATCGATTGGAAAGTGGCGAAGCGAAGAACTCTTTTTCACGAATCCAGTACTTTACGGAATCCCATCTTCTCCCCTACCGGTAGGGGTTCTGGAACCTACCAGTACCGTGCCGTACAGTACACGATCAAAGGGCACTGAGAGGTGCACACACAAGCCACACACCCGAGCGAAGCAATCCTCTCGATGTGTTGACTGCCGCACCCTTGCATCACCAAGAAAAGAGCCACTGTGTTACTATAGACTGCGACACCCACCAAGAAATAGCTACGACATAACATCGAATCGACCTCTGTCGCCATGTTTTCCACCAACGCATGCCGATTGTATCTTTCGGCGTCACGCCGAATCGCACGAAATGTCGCTGTCACCAGTCGAGTGCGTCCAACTGCCATCCGAACCTTCGTGAAGCCTTCTTGTAGCGCAGCAATGCCCATCAAAACAATCGATGTAAGAATCCGAATCCGATCTTTGAAAACGATGTCGCTGGAAGCCTCGATGGTTCATTATTCCTGTTTCTCGTTCCACCGGGTGGTCTTCTGTTGTCGTGATGTTTCGCGATCGATCCGCTTGTTCCAACGTTTGCTCACTTTGGATTTCTCTCATTGCCTCGCCTTGGACCTACAATGATGTCGCGTTTAGGTCCCAACCATGGGGGATAGTATTACGGAGGGAACGATTGTTGACATGCCAGTGGCTGTTGGCGATTACGTCCAGCCGGACGATGTGGTTCTCGTGATTGAAACCGACAAGGTATCCGTAGACGTCCGTGCCCCCGAAGGTGGGGTCTTGACGGAGGTCCTCGGAGAAATCGACGACGTCGTCGAGGTCGGATCGCAGCTGTATCGCCTGGACACGGACGCGGACGCCCCCGAAAGCCCCAGCGAACCCATGCCAGCGACCGAGGAAACCCTAACCCCCAGCGCCAGCTCCGAGCCGGTTCCCGCCGCCACCCCCCCCGCCCCGGCAGCAGCACCCGTGGCAGCCGCTGCGGCCCCCAAGACCCCTCCCCCGGCCCCCAAGGTAGCGGAGGCCCAGACCTTTTTGGGATCGCGCACCGAACGACGCACAAAAATGTCCCGCATGCGCCAAACGGTCGCTACCCGCTTGAAGGGGGCCCAAAACACGGCTGCCATGCTCACCACCTTCCAAGAGTGCGACATGGGAAATCTGATGGAGATGCGAAAGAAATACCAGGATGTCTTTGTTGCCAAACACGGGATCAAGCTTGGATTTATGTCCGCGTTTGTCTTGGCAGCAACCGCCGCACTTCAGGAAGTTCCACTGGTGAACGCCTACATCGACGACGAGACAAAAGAAATCGTGTACAGAGATTATTGTGATATTTCTGTGGCCGTTGCCTCTCCCAAGGGATTGGTTACGCCAATCTTGAGAAACACAGAATTGATGTCGTTTGCCGACGTGGAACACAACATTGCGGCTTACGTCGAGAAAGCGAAGAATGGTACCCTTTCGTTGGATGACATGTCGGGTGGAACCTTCACAATCTCAAACGGTGGTGTGTTCGGATCTCTGATGGGTACACCCATCATCAATCTACCTCAGTCCGCAGTTTTGGGCATGCACGCAACAAAGATGCGAGCAGTGGTTAACGACAAGGGAGAAGTCGTTGCCCGACCCATGATGTATCTGGCCTTGACATACGACCACAGGTTGATCGACGGAAGGGAGGGCGTCACATTCCTGAAGAGCATTGCCGAAAAAGTATCCGATCCATCGAAGTTGTTGTTGGAAGTATAAAACGTTGATGAGGTACGGTACCCAAGATCCACAGATTTTATTCAAACTCATCTCGTTGCTGGCACACCGAGGGGTGCGCATTTCTAATCTATTGTAATATTTGTAACGAAAGCTACACTATATTTTGAAAATAATTTTGATAGAGATCTCTAGGATCTTGTGTACTAAGTAGATAGGCACCACTAGAAAGTCAAGGCAGGAGAGAACAACACGTTGTGGAGCAAGAGAGCCTATGACTGAGTTGACGATAGCTGTGGCATCAATAACAACAAGAAAGACAGGAAAGACAGGAATTCATTAGGATCATTGTAACAACTCCTCCTGATGCCACTACTATGGTTGTTGTCACATTTCTTGAAGCCTATACAGGTTGAACAAAAATTGAATTGGTACCAGCAAAGGATGGAATGTTCACATACTACACAATCCTGCAATTATTGAAATATAGAATTCATCCTCCTCCTGCAATCAATACTGCTAGTACTACTACTACTAGTACTTGTGCACTATCATACTTATTTTAAAAATGGCAAAAAATGTGTTCTGCGCAGCACTCCTTTTTTGACTAAAGAAAATTAGTAAGGCCAGCAAAAAGGAAGTTCTTGTCCGTGATACCAGCAACAACTGCTTTGCTCACATCTCTTACTATCTCTCATGTAGTAGAAGGGTGGTCAACAACATAGTATCAAAATGAGCACTGGGACCCTGCTCAGCAACCACCAGCACAAGAAGCAAGAATACCAGTACTACTACTGGTACTAGAAGTACTACTACCACTGCTACTGGTACTCTACTTCTTTCTTGAGCAAAAAAGAGCCCCCTTCTTCTTGTTCTTCTTCTTTGAACCACCAGCCACCCCCACCAGGGGTAGCTAGTGTTCTACTACTAGTACTACTAGTACTAGTATTACCAGCTCTGTTGCTGGAGAGCCCCCTGAGAGGTATTTTTTGAAATGGATTGCGCAAACCATGCGCTCATACTAACAGTAAAGAATAGGGTCTAACAGTAATCTATTTAACAAAAGCAATTCACCATCTTCAGGGGATTAAGTGAACAACTTTTTGGGGAATGCAAAAAAGTTAATTAATGAGGAGAACTCAAGTAATTAATCTGAGTAATTAAGTAAATCAATATCATTGATTAAGTGGCATCTTATTGGTGCTGGTGCTACTACTACTAACAAGTAGTAGTAGTATATAGTCGTAGTGCATTTACTACAAGTAGTAGTACTTCTACTACTAGTAACAGGACTAGAAGCAGAAACAGCAACATGTGCTGATCCATACTACTAGTAGCAAAAAGCAGCATTAAAAACTAGCACAGTAGTACCAGCAGCAAAAGACAAGAAGAATGGATGCTGTCACCATTGAAGACAAGGTAAAAGATAATTCAATGGCCTTCCAATCTCATGTGAAAAAAAAACAAAGCCAAACAGATTGCTAGCTTGTTTGGTACATCTAGTGTAGTCATTGCTGATATATGGAACCTTATCTATGCTAGACACCAAACAATGTCTCCTCTTTGATCCAGAGCGGAACCAAAGCATTTGCTATGGTCTTTGCTTTCATTAAGGTGTATGCTACATCCAAAGAAGTTCATTGTGCAATAGTTTGGTGGCCACATAGTGATACCTTTCAAAAGTGGTCATGGTGTTTTTTAAGAAAGGTCTTTGAGCCCCAAGAAGAAGAAATGGTCATATGGAAGAACAGATTTCTTGGACAACCTCAATGCACAACAACAGGGGAATAGTTGCAAGCAGTGAACTGTAAGGTATCAGAGGATTGGATGGATTACCCATGCTTTGAACCTCATCCTTTCAGGAGAGATATGTATTCAGAATAGTTCAACAGCCCTGCAATCCAGTACAAAGTTGTAGTTTGTATCAAAACAGCTCATATTGTTTGGATTAATGGACCTTTTCCTGCAGGTACTTCAGAAAAAGGAATCTTTGTTAGCAATCTTGCTAATTGGTTGGAAGAATGGGAGTGCATCGAGGCTGATGGTGGCTTGCAGGGTACACAGAAGGCCAAGAAACAAGGGCAGGGGTTTGATAAGAAGCATAGAAAGAAGCAAAAGTCTGTTGTCCAGGGAAGGCACAGAAATATAAATAGAAGACTGAAGAATTTCAATCTTTTGAATGTGTCCTTTCATTGTACTGAAGGGAGAGATAGGGATGGAATGATCAGGAAGCATGAAATGTATTTCAGAGCTGTTGCTGTCATTACACAGCTGTAACTAGAAAGCAGAGAGGGAATGTATCAAGTGGATTCCGACCTATGATGATATTGAGCACAACAAGCAATATCAGGATTTCTGTTGAAATACTCCTATTCACACTAGATAATTAGTATTTTTAGCTACAACAAGAATGTCATTCTTTCACAAACTTTTTTTAATTTCTTTACATTACTACACATGTCAAACACTGCTGAGGATGGAGCAAAGATAACAAAATGATAGCTCTGATTGTAACTCAACAAGATCCTGGATCATTGTACTTTGTTGTTTTATCACAGTTAGATGACTGTATGACAATTCCAGAGATTGTTTTTTCTTTATTTGACTATTGGATCCATGCATCCTTGCCATGGCTTATTGCTTGGCTGCATTGCTGAATTATGAAGGAGCACAGCTTTTTGCTGGTGCTCCTGCAAATGTGTTGTTAGCACAGCAGCAGTGTTGCTTTGTTATGAAAACAAGAAAAGAAGCAAACAAGGGACCTGCTGCTATCATGCTGGTGCTAGTAGTACTACTTGTAGAAGAGTTCTACAATGGTGGAGGAGCAGTGGTGCTTCTTCTTGGTGCTACTACAAAAGGAGGTGGAATCAAGTGAGCTTGGTGCTACTAGTACTGCTACTACTACTACTACTACTAGTACTACTACTACTACTAGTACTACTACTACTAGTACTACTACTACTACTACTACTACTAGTACTACTAGTACTACTAGTACTACTACTACTACTACTAGTACTACTAGTACTACTACTACTACTACTACTACTACTACTACTAGTAATTGTACGTACTCCTACTAGTGGTAGCATTTGGTCAGCATGCTGGTGTTGGTGGTACTGCTGTGACTGTTAAGCAGATGGAAGGGACAAACCACTGGAGGCAATAGAAACAATAAAGGAGTCAATCAACTTGAATAATTAAGTTAATTAGTAGTAGTATTTTGATGGTGCTGGTTCTCCTCCCCCAATCTAACAAAATTGATTAACCCCCTAAAATTGATTTGAAAAATTGAAATGAATTCCTGCTTTCCCCCCATTGTGCCATTTGGTTACGAACTAAAGATTTCAGTGTGTACAATTGGGCTCTCCTCTTAGTAGTACTAGTAGAGTAGCTGCAACATTCTTGGATTTGGTTTGTGCTTGACAGAAAGAACAAGCATTCAAATTACCCAAGAATGGAGGTTCATTCTTACCCCTGAGGTACTACATCTATGACTAGTATGGTAGTGCTGGTGTTAATAGTATAAGAAGAAGTACTAGTAGTACTAGTACTAGTACTACCTTAGGTCAGGAGATGAGTGATATTTCGTATGGCTTACATTAATTTGGCATTTAGTAATAGTTTCTTCATATCTGAGTTTATGGACCTAAAAACAAAAGACCCTTCTTACCCGTCTTTCGTCACAACAAATTCGGCGTGATAGTCGAGGTTGTGATTACTTTACCTACCGTGAAGCAAGAAAAATGATTTCGAAGGCTGCTTTGTCACACTCAATATAGCCTCGATAAAAAGTTGCAGACTATCGTGTATATGGAAGATAGATTAACGACCTAGAGTACTGATATGTCGGGATCGGGTACTTCGCAAACGGTAGAAACAAGCGTCGATGGAATATTGACATCAGTAGGAGGCGCCGCTCCCAATCCGAATACGAACAGGAGTGACCCTCTCGAAACTGCCAAGTGGACGCGGTTTCTTCCAGAAGCGTTTGGAATCAGGGAATCCGTTCGGAAATCCTCTTACAGGTGGTGTGTTCGCGAGGGGTAAGTTTTTCGAATCACTCAATTGAAAGTTATTGTTTTGCTCATTATTTGTCATCTTCGCTGTCACGAAACAATATCTTATTGTAACACTTACCCCCACGTTCACATGATTTGGGTTTTGGTTCAAAGGGGGATGTGGGGAATAGCCACTGCGACGGCAATGAGTTTGTAAGTTATTACCTCTATGTGACCTATTCGATTGGTTGTATTCTAATGAAAAAAGTGCTAAACATTTCACTGCACGATGATGTAATTCCTTTAAATTTCTTTGGAAGACACCGGCTTCGCATGGGGACCAAGCCAGTAATGGCCGGGCACTGTTTTTTTGGAACCTTTATGGTAGTTATGCTCCCGTCGTATTATTTTTGCTATCGACGACGCGAGCATCAAGAACAGGTGATCGAAATGATGATGAAGTATAATCAATTTGGCCACGCAACAGATTTACCGGAAGAGCCGCCGCTTGAGGAACATCCCTTCTGGGAACAAAACAACGAGGGCGATACTTCTAACGCGGAGACAAAACACGATAGAGAATTCCGTGGATTGATTAAGGAACGCAAGGAGTGGCAGAAACCTCAAGATCCTTCCTTCGATGAAATATTTCAAGAAAGGAAGTAATAAAGCAAGCATGAATTTCTCCCATCTATCTAGCCTTATGCAACACTTCTAGGGATGGTTCGATTCCTTTGTTGATTTCTTACAGCAATTATGGCTTGCGCGACTCCCTTCTTTGTGCATGTGGAACATGAATGCTGTGAGGTACTCTTCCATCCGAACCAATATTTCGTCCAGTCATCAACTCTGCTGATCCCTGCTGTTTACGGTAGAGATCCCCCCCTTTCGGCACTCTATTAGTGGTGCAACAATTTATGTTTTCGGACACTGAATGCAATTTAAATCTTTCTATGAAATCTATGAAAGAGCTGATGCTATCTGAACGAAATTGTAAACAGTGCGGTGCTGAATAGTACAAGAAATAGACAGTATTGTGTGCTGTATCTTTCTTACATAATGCTGAATAAAGATTGATGTGCTTTTACAGGGCGCTATTATTGCTAGCTGCGGGCACGAAAACACAAATTTCTCACACTGCAGAGATTCAAAGGCTGAATTTCTTAGACCGGGATCTTGCCCGTGCCGGTAGCCAATTTGTAATATCCACTTCCCAAACGAACCAATCCCATTCCGGCAACAGCAAAAACAAATCCAGCGACCATTTTGTCGCTATCCTGCTTCAACCAAGTAGGGTTAGCCTCTCCTTGCTGTGTCCCTCCCCTTTTCTGGATTTTCTTGATCTCGTTAACCTTTTTTACCGTATGGTACATTCACAGAATAGCATGGGATTGTCGTGTTGCACATTTTTTGTCCATAGCGCGATATCCACCAAATATTAGAAATCAATCGAAACGAAGCAGTCAGTGGTTGTTTTAGAGATGGTTGATTAAAACTTAAATTACGAAGAAGCGGAATCCAATGAGTTTGGCGAAGCCTGGTTGTCGGTGGTTGAATACTCTTACCTTGTCGGGGTAGTTGGTTAGGTAATCAACGATCCCGCGTCTTTGCTGTTGCACGGGGGCTCGACGAGCCATGACTCGTGTTGCAACAATTCTACTGGTAGCGAGAGACATCTTGGTTCTACTTTGAAAAGAAAGGCTTCAACCCAAGACAATCAATTTCCTTGCAACTTTTACTTCGTTTGTTGTCGTTATCGGTGTGGTAGCTTTGATGCTTGTTGGTACTCGTACTGTTCAGCGTACCGTACGGTTCATACCGCCTACGGCACGATTCCGCATCGCCCAAATGAATGGGGTCAAAGAAGAGTGTACAGTTGTACGGTACCGTACGGTTCACTAGACTACTTGTCGTTCTACTGGTACAATACCCGGTGGGCCACAAGACCATTGTTTTTAACGCCCAAAGAACACACCGCTTCAAGGAGCAGCTGAAGCCCAGCCAGGGATGGAAACCGTTTCTTTTTTCTTCGTGCATGAGGAGAAGAAATCGTGCGGAACGCAGGGGGGGGAGAGGGGGTCGGGGGAGGTAAAAGATTGATTTCATACATATCTATTGTATGTACTATCATTACTAGGTACTTTCATTGCTTTTGACAGTCGTATCGGTCAATCGTGGAAAACGTAAAGAAATAGTGCCCATAATATAACTCGTTCTTTGCACCGGCGAGGTAGCGAAGTGTGGTTTGAATCAATCATATCCGCCGAATGCACGTGGTTATTGGATTCTAGAACGTGAGTAATTGGAACGTAAAGTTAAATAACCGTTAAAAACGTATAATTAAAATTGTTGAACAGTCACGGCAATGTTTTCTTTATCGTGTGTTCCTACATTTCTCTAGGCAACGGTCCAAAAATTAGTTCCGCATGATGTAGCACCTTGATATTTCTTATTGAGAACGACTCCCGCCGCAAATAAAATACACGAGACAACGTTTCGTACCAATACGAGTACCGGTACAACAAGCAGAGGCATTATTTCTTTTTTCGCAATCTTTGAAGTCCGTCAAGAGAAGGTTCTTATTTTTTACTCTAAAAGCACTTATTCGAAAAGCATTGCCAGGGCCACCATGACTGATGCCGAGAACATGATGAACGACCTTCAACTCGAAGATGTCGAAGACTACTCTGCCGATTACCCAGTTAGTGACGGTGGTTACCCCAATGCTGGAGCAAACATGGCACCGGCTGGCAACATCGAGCAGGAAAGCACAGGCAAATCTCCGAAATATCGCCGTGCGGCAGTGATTGCTTTGATTCGCAACAACAAGTGGTCATTTGCTGTCCTTGGAGTAGTCGTGGTCATCCTGATTGCTATTATCGCATCGACTGCGGGAGGAAAGAAACCCATCGCCGCTGCTGCCCCTACCATGAAAATCGACGACGCACACGCCGGCTTCCCTCCGGTCAAGCAATACATAGAAGATGTGGACAAAGATGTGTTGATTGAATTCAAGACGATGCTTGATAACACCTTTACGCGCCACAATCTTGACACTTCTGTCCTGGACACTGAGGGAAGTCCCGCACAGCAAGCAATGATCTGGATGTGCAAAGACAAGAAAGTCAACAGCATGGAACACACCGAAAAACTCCAACGATACGTCCTTGCCGTGTTCTTCTACAGCACTAATATGGTTCCTTCCATGCATGTAGAAAATCCCTTGGCCTGGAAAAATGCTGACAACTGGATGACCAATGCTCACTCATGCGAATGGATGGGTGTTGAATGCAACGAAGACAAGTTCATTGTTGCGATCTACCTCGAGAAAAACCGCCTCTCAGGAAAAATCCCTGTCGAAATTGCAATTATTGCCAACAACATCGAGTCGCTCGATTTTACTGACAATATCATGCACATGAGGGAAAGCGATTTTGATGCATTCCTCTCTCTGAAAAAACTCCACACTCTTCTCATGGACGACAACTATCTTTATAACAACGACGGGCTTCCTTCGCAAATGGGAGCGATGACTAGTATGGAGAAAATGAGATTGAGTTACAACGTTTTTGAAGGCGAACTGAACAAGAATTCGGTTCTTGATTCCATGAAGGGCTTGACTCACTTGGAGATCGAATCCAATTACTTCACAGGAGGCATACCAAATGCCATTCTAGAAATGGAAAATCTCACTTACCTGTATTTGCGTCGAAACAACATGGAGTTCAATTTGAATTTCTTGAAGGAAAACCGATTTACCGAAAACATTTGTAAGTTTTCTTTTTTTATGAGATGAATGGTTATGGATGTAACATTTATTGTTGTGACGCATGATGTTGATATCGAAGCAACCCATATCTTCTTACGATTGTTTTTCTCACTCTAACATAACGGTTTGTTTCATTCCCTTTTCAACTACAGTCGCTATGTGGTTGGACGGAAACGATATTTACGGTACAATTCCCACCGAGATCGGTTTGCTGTCTGGTCTCGCCTCCTTCTCGATGGCCAACGCGACCATCACGGGAACTATCCCGACACAAATTGGAAATTTGAGTCAACTTCGACGCCTCTGGTTGTTCAACAACCAGCTCACTGGTACCATTCCCGGTGCCCTCAATAATTTGGAGTTGCTCGAAGTTGTTGAATTGCACGGGAACGATTTGAAGGGATCAATGCCTGAAGGAGTTTGCCTTTCTGTTGAAAAATCAGACTACGAGTTTAAGTCATTGACCAGTGATTGCGTCAAAGAAGTGACATGCGACAAAGATTGTTGCACAAAGTGCTTCTGATTCCTTCGTCGCTAGGTAGATGGAATGACAAAGGAAGGAAACATTTATGTATAATTTAGATAAACGACAAACATAAACCATTTTTATTCTGAAGATCGATTTGTTTGTTCCGTCGCATTAATGTTGCCTATCGATTTAGTAAACCAAATCATTTTATTCCGACAGATTGGTGCTGTAGAAGAGTAAATTCAAGAAAAGAAATCAGCTCAAACATCGTTGGTGCACATGGTATCTTAAATTTTATAGCTACATCTCAAGATTCAATTTTGATCAGTGGAGCTCGGACTCGTTGTCATGGTGGATTACACGGCCCCTTTTCGGCTTTTTCAGAGAGTCCATTACGTGTGGGTGATTTAGAAGACGCCAAAAATAGACCAGGTTCATGACCATGAACAACACAAAAGCGATGACAAAAAAACCGTGTATGAAAGCTGCTGTGCCCGGGATCAGCATGTTTTCCAGTTGCTGCAACCAGTCTTGCGACTCTTCCAATGCCGAGTAGCCAACTACTAACGGGAAGACATAAAACCTAGCGTAGCAGTAAGCTGGAATGACCAAGAATCTGTGCAAGACAAGGATCATTGATTTTCGCGATAGCCCGATTCTTCCAGGGGTTTCCCTCTGGTTTTGGGGCGCGTTTATGCCGAGTTGTAGCAGATGAAGGAAGAGACTACTAGCATCAAAACTGAACATGGCGATAGCTCCCAACCGTCGCGTAGAAGAAAAGAGATAGGTACCAAGAATCAATACCAGGGAAAACACGTGCTGGAAGAAAATCCGAACATTCAAAAGAGTGAACATGGACATTGGAATAAACCCAAAAAATTTTGGAGCCGATGCCTCTTTCTTCTTCGATGATTTCGACACAAACCACAAGAGTATTGAGGTAAGTACGTGAAAGACTGCGCTATGAAAATGGTAGGACGCCTGGATAAGATAATACCGCCGCAACACCGGGTTGTAGCTGTCGAAATCAGAGTCCACAATTTTGTCGAAATCGGTGTGCATAAGTGTGACTCCAATCGAGGAAAGATCMCAGCAGTTTTTTGTGTTGCCTGTACCTCCAACAGAAGGCGGCCAAAAGTCGGCTGCCAAAAAATAACACAGACCTATCAGGCAACTGATAGAACAAAATATGAGACGGAAGACTGCTGTAGCGTACTTCGGAGCGGCAAACATGCGTTCCGGTTTCTGTTTCTTCTTATATGCGCCTCTTTCTGGCTTTTCGACACTGTTAGAGGCTAGCGGGGCTGCTTGCTCGAGTAGCGCTTGCAAATTTTGAGCAGAACTATTCGTCAAGAGACCAGAAGATACTGCCGGGGCCTGAAAAAGACGCTCGTCTTCCTCCTCGTCGTGAAACAACCAGTCATTCCCGTCCTCGTTCTTCCTTATTCTCGAATCTACTACTAGATCTTCGGTTCCTGACCCCTGATCAAGGTCCGACAAAGGTCCCGGAGGAAACCTGGGCCTTATTTCTATTTCATCGTGGGCAAGTTCACGTTGTTGATCGTCACTATCGTAACTGCTCGCATCTCCTTTGCCGCTGTTGAGATCTGGGATACGTAATTCAGAAAGGTCGCTCTCGGAATTTGTATCGAAGTGTTTCAATTTCATCACCTTCGTTGGAGTCACGGACCCCGAATACGACGAAGACAACAAGTGTATTGATTTGCACCGAACCAAAGCCTCCAATCGCTTCGGTTGTTTGTAATTTGGTACCAAAAAGTGAACAAGAGCGACCCGTGTCACAGCCATAGATAGAGATAAAAGAATTACAATTGCAAGATCCGATATCCCAGCATCCGGTGCTAGGACGGAAGGATTGGTCGCAAGGCCGTGCGTAATGTTGTCCGGAAGGTACTTTCGGCATATTTGGTATTCCAACAGCCAAGACCGAGAACAGATGTATCCTGCAATCTGAAAGCACAAGGAGCCGCCTTCTATCCATATTGCGTGACCGAGACGGACAATAAAGCGAAGAAGAGTAGGGAGAATCATGCAGAATATGTACAGAGTTCCCCCTTCGAATAGAATGCGCCAGGAGGAATAGGAAGGCAAGGTCTCTCCCGTAATTCTACTTTTCCTCTTTGTCCGTTCGCCACTATTTCCGATTTCGACGAATCCATCATTTTCCCCATGATCACTATCTGAAGAGTGTCTCGAAGATTGCGACCGAAGACGTTTTCGCTTTTCATTTCTCTTATGTGTTTTTGCAACAGTATTTCTTTTTTTTTCATCTTTCGAGCCAATAAGATTTCGATGGCGCCTCAGCGCTAGAGAAACACCTACTTCTGTCATAATCGACTGCCTTGCATCTAAGATATGATCAGCATTTCAACCTACAACACCGTATTGACTATTGGCAGCTGCGATGGTGTGATTAGTTTGCCGCGGTAATAACTGATATGGTTTGTGGACGAGTGTCGCTGCATTCGTTTTGGAATGGGTTGACAGACAACAGCATTAAGTTGATAAATTGAGGTTCCTTTCTCATGGAATACCTGTAGGCTCGTACCTACTCGTACCTGGTACGAAATACTAGTAAGTGCGTACTAAATAATATCCGGGTTGTTCAATCAAAACATTATTTTCGGTGTCACATGTCATATTTGATTCGCACGAATGCCAGTACGAACTACGTACGAACTACGAACAGAACAAAGAACCCTTTAAACAAAAGCGAAAGTGTATTAGTACGTATGGACCATATGATACAGAACTGAATACGACCATTTCCGCTTTCCTTGGGGTGAGGGTTTACGTGCCGTCAATGCCGTCACCAGTTGTCAAAAAAAATTTATGACCCCTGCCATCAGCCATCAACCATCCAGCACAACGATGATTGATTGATTCATACGATACCTATGTGAGGAGAATAACCTCAACCCAAATCATGTACACATAACACAATCACGTGAGTGATGACAGACAGCAGCACCAGCTGCAATACCGTACACAGTAAACACCGCATAACATGCATTAGAGAGCCTATAACATTTCGCAACCTATGGTATCATTGCGTACTATCATAGTATGCTACCGGTACGACGGAGGGACGACCATAAGGTAATAAACAAACCAATCATTAAAAAATCTGAAGAAATTTGAATCATGTTCTGTAAGTACTGGGTACGTACCGGCCGGTACGTACCGTACGCGGCGACGAAACTGCAAATTTGCAATTACTGTACTGTAAGTACAAATTTAGTCCCTTACGTGTTAAAAGCATGCAATAAACTGCACAATCTAAAACTCCAACGCTGCTTCTGTTGCTACGAGTACGAGTTTCGTAATAATTGTGTTCGATAAAAATTGGAGATGCGGCTCAAATCTTATCCGCTGATGAAAAAATCTTGCTCTATTGAACCGGGTGAAAGAAAACAGAGACAAGAGGAAAGAGATAAACAGCCAGAACGCTGGAGCTTCGCACGTGCCAGCAACAAAATGTTGTACGCAGTCGAGGGAGAAAGCAAGTAACTTTCCAATGAAGAGATATTCATATCTTTGTCGACGCCTATTTTCACGTGTCAAAACTGCGAACCGATTGGTGCAAAAACCCAAAAGTGGCCCGCTGCTACCATCATTAGTCGAGAATGAGCACCGAGCGAGACCCCTTTCGTATTCTCCCTCCGTATTGAGTAGTTCAAGAGTTTTTTTGTCTCACATAAATGACAGCGGCCAACCTACTACCATTGATAATAGAAGGTGTAGGTTCTTCCGCCCCATTTATGCGAAAAGCTTGTCGTCTAAGGCATCCCCCCTGGATTCGCCAACCCTCGGAGGCCATCACATTTCCAATGAGGAAAGTCTGCTGCAAAGAATTACCAGAAAACTCAAGGAGGATCCTGTCGAAGATGTTGCCAGTTTCTTTTACGACCACTGCAAGATTCACGAGGTCAGCATGGATGCCCTCAATCCAAATTTTGAATTGACCGCTGTCCTCGAAAGCATACAAGACGATCCCCAGACATCCGAAAAATTTCTCAAAACAATCCAAGGTCTATGCAATAGAAATACTGTTGCTGCAACCGAGCGCAAATCAGGAATAGGCAACGAGGACGCTAATCGTCCTCAAACCAACGCCGGCTTGCTACCGGGAAGAGATCATTATAACTTAGTTTTGAATTCATGGCGAATGTTTCAGCCACCGAGCGCAAAGAGACTCCAGAGATTACAAGAGTATATGGAAAGCCGTGCCGGGATCAACTACGACTCCGAAAGCTGCAATCTTATACTCGAAACATGGGCTGAAAAAGGAAACGCCGAACGAGCGCAAGCCTTCTTCGACAATGTCATGGTTCGAAAGAAAATACCAGTGGACGTGGTTTCCTTCTCCCACGTTTTAAACGCTTGGTCGAAATCAAAGTCGGCTGTGGCAACCAAGCGAGCAGACACTTTGTTGGATAGGATGGAAGCCTTTCCCAACTTGAAACCGAGTGCGGAATGTTATCTCCACGTAATTGAATGCTGGGCCAAGTCTAGGAGGTTGCGATCCGAAGTCCGAATCGAAGCTCTCGTTCGTTCGATGAAACAACGATTTTTCGAAAGCAAAAAGTTGGTTAGCTGTGATGGCACGAGGTCTGTGGATGGAAAAATTTTGCAAACCGCTGTATTGAACCTTCTACAGGCATATCATCATATTGAAAATGCGCACCGTGCAGAAGCACTATTGTTTGAATTCGTAGATGATTTTCAGACCAAGAGGAATTTGAACTACCCGCCACCCACCATTGAAATGTGTATTTCTGTCCTATCAACCTGGTCGAAATCGGCATCTTCTAATAAGGCAAACCGATCCGAAAAATTGCTCCGCTTGATGGAGGAAAATCCATCTTTACCGAGGCCAGACACAGCATCATACACCGCTGTCCTAAACTGCATCGCTAGCTCTAAAAAGTTGGGCTCGGCGAAAAGAGCCGAGGCTTTGTTACGCCGAATGGATAGGAAGGAAAACATAGAATCGAACATGGTATCATTAACCTGTGTTCTAATAGCTTGGGCTCGATCCGAGGATTCAAACGCAGCATTAAAGGCAGAACAGATATTTGAGGAAATATTAGATCGAGGGATGGAACCGGATCGTTTTGTTTTTGCAGGATTGATCACGGCTTGGGGGCGAAGTAAGCGAGAGGAATCTATGGTGAAAGTTGAGGAGTACTTCCATCTTATCAAAGGTTTGGATAACAGCAAGCCTACTGTGGTTGAGTACACAGCTGTAATCCAAGCATACGCAAATTTCGTTTCTAGGAATATTGACAAGTCTCGAGAATCAGTTGAGAGAGCCGAGGAGCTACTGGATGAAATGTTGGCTTCAGAAGATAAAAACTTGCGTCCGAATATACTGACCTACGCTGCTGTGCTCAAAACCATAGCTGCCGCAAGGCGGATACCTGATCGTGGAAAACATGCCGATGCCGTGTTGCAAAAAATGTATGCAGAGCGAGTGGAGGTCGGACCCTTCATCTTAAATCTTGTGAGCCGATCCAGAAATCATACACATTCATCGAAACAAGCTGCTCAGAAAATTTCATCTTCTGACTGACATTTGAAACAAACCTGGCTACGCGTTTGCAAGTCCCCGGATGCTCCTCGACGTGAAGTTCTCTAGACGGAATACGGATGCAATTCACGCAAAACTGAATCGTCCGCCATCCGCAACAAATGATACGTCGCGAAGTGAGACTTGATGTTGTCCGACGCTGTCAAAATTTTCACCATAATTTGGTAAATATACTAGGAGTAAATGATTATTTTGATGCAAATTCTTTCCTCAATAGCCGAAGGAAGTTCAGATTTTGAATACATTCTATTGTTAATTGGGTGATACATTATCGTATACATGGTTTGCTCTATCGTTTTCTGAATGATCCAATGTCCTCCTTTCTTGGGGAGATATGGTCCACGGCTTCTTCTTCATTGTCATTGATAGATTGTTCTATGTCAGCTTCGCCGCTTTCTTTACTCATCTTTTGTCCTGCTTGCTTCTCTAAGACCGAAATATAAGAATATCGAGCCGATCCCATCAAAACCACAACAATTCCAAAACCATTCATCGGTGTAATTTTAGTAGAAAATATAACTGTCGAAATACAAATCATCAGAACCTGTTTCACGTTTGCAGCAATGCTGATTGAACAAGAAAGAAAAGGATTTTTGTGAGACGAGGGTGGAAAAAACAATGTAAAGGAGACGAATAGAGTCACATACCAGAGTGTCAATGGTGATGTCATTTTATTTGCCATGAGAGAACAAATATTCAGTGAAAATGAGAATATACCACTCATCAGAACTACACCAATAGGATAGTAATTATTGTAGATCTCTGGACGGGCTGAGATCGAACTGACTTCTCCCGTCAAGAAACTTAAAACAATGCACTGGACCATGGCCAGTGGTGCCATATGACCGAGCAGATCAACAGGATGAAGCTTTAAAGACCCTGTCAAAATTTCTCCCGACGCCAAAACCTTCAAGGCGGCTAAGAGGACACATGCACAAGTATAGAAAAATCCCAATGTCGAAAATGTCATATCCCCCCATACTGCCATAGCGACACCGATAATAACTGGGATGACAGCAACAATCCGATTAGAGGAAATTTGTTTCCCAATGAATAGACCCAATATAATCGTAACGGCAGGAACTAAGGAACGCATCACCTGGTTGAAATTTACTGAGACGTGCCTTAGCGAGACGTTCCCGATAGCAATATTGAATGAGAAAATTACTGAAAATGCGATAATGCTTCGCATTCCGGTGCTGTCAATGCTTTTTCGTTCGACTTTGCCGAGGAGGCGCTGAAAAATACTGCTTTGACCAGTTTCTTCGTCTCGTTTCATGCTCATGAAGACTATCTGACTACCAACGGAGTTGCAAATCATATGCACAAAGGAAAGAAAATAAGGGTAATGAAAGTCGACTTTTGCGAAAGCTGCCTTGTTTAAAAGGGTAACGCCCACGTTGTTGACCATCCATAGCACCAACCAGAGGCTTCGTTGACACGATTAGAGAGAGAGAGAGCACCGAAGATAAGAAATATTTTTCATTGCGGATGGTTCTGAAGATAACGCAATACAGTAAAACTGTGCATCGAAAGCAGTCACACGTACAATGATGCATCCCGCAAAAAGTTGATCCGAAACATTTTTCCGGTTTGCTTTTCAATGACCGAACAATCAAGTCGCTCGGTGGTCTTGCAAAATTCTCCCGGTTTTTGCCTGCCTCGAAAGTGTGACGATGGGATCCTGTTTTAGTCTGACTTCGTGCTGTGATTTTCTGCAACTAATAGGTCGTAATCGGACACCGGTTATTGCATCGATATGCTTCGAGGTAAAAATCAAAGAAGAACGAATCCCGTCATATTTCAAATTCGAACGCAGTTACGGTTGCAATCTGTGTGTACTGTAACTGAGAAGTACGCAACTCTCATATATACTGTACCATAGAGTGGGTACTGGTACTAACTAAAAAAAAAAATAGTTTTCATTCAAAAATTAAAAATACAAAACAGTCGAAAACGATCACACTGTAAGGATCGGCTGGAAAACCTTATCCTTAGTGTCATATTTGAATATGGTCAAAAATACGAAGTACAGTACAGTACGTTTGAAATTTACGTACAAGTACTGTGCCTACTGTAATGTTGATCCGTACCGTGCGGCGCAGGCGGGTACGGCAGGGGTCATATGACCCCTGGCGTGGCATAAACTAGGTACGTACTCGTACTGTAAGTGCCACCAGGGTTAATAACTATTTTACGATTTAAACTACTTCTACACGTTACTTCTTCCATACGGTACACAGGAGCCATAAATTTATGACCCCTGGCCGTAGCGTACGCAGGGGTCCCCGTACGTACGTACGTACGTACTGTAGCCTCACGTCATAATCTTAATAGTACCGTAGGATACAGTACGGTAGTACGTATGGTGCGAGTACGTATGTACTTGTCCTGTACGGTATCGTACGTACTACACTTACTACGTACTCGTACCTACAACGTGCTTTACCGGTAGGTTCAACCTTTTTTCGTTTTTCGATTGTCAAGTTCCTACTACTCGAAAGTCCGATCTGTCTTCACAGTACGGTACTCGTACCAAGTACGTATTTCTACACTACGATACTTGGCAAATCGATTTTCGATGCAGAGAACGAAACGGTTCAATACTGTGCAGCGTGCAGGTAGTAGGGGAGCTAAGAAGGAACGTAGGTTTCTGTTTTCCTTCTGAAAAGTACGGCTTATGTACCTTCATTAAAGAGAAAATTAATTAAGTACCGTACCATGCTACAAGTACTACATTAGGACGAACTTCGTAACAACACCGGTTGATGATGCTGTTTTCTGATCTCTTTTCTTGACACAATACGATGTCTTACAACGATACCCATCGGTGTTGGAATGAGAAAGTAATCCCAGCCCTCCTTGACTTGACAACACGGTTCATTACGCTTTGTTGAGATGGACTTGGCCCGCGATTCTTCCTTGTGAGTAGATATTCGTCGACATAGTTGTAAGCTCTTGAATGAATTTGTCGTTTCGATTCAGTTGAATTTGATTCATGTGATAATGTTCGATCCCAATCATACCTAACGTTTTTTGCTCCTTCAGTGTCTGGCTATGTATTTGGACTTTAAACAATGTTTCGGTGACGCTCCTCAATAAGGTCTGTTTTAGTATGGTCGACTTTCGATACCCATACTTTCTTTCGTTCGTTCACATGGTAAGTGTTGCTCTTCATCTCGCTAGAGGGAAGAATCTTCTCGGTTACATTCGTGAACTATATTTCTTACGAAGTAAGATCCTTCTCCATCTTCACGAATTCCAAGGCATGCAACGTATTGGGTACACGATATGTTTTCTGGAGGATAAAAAGAGACGACAAACTGGGTACAAAGAGTACGATACAAAATTGGTTGGGTTATCTAGTTCGAAAGGATCTTGATAGGAAGGGCTTGAAATACATCCGTCTATTTTCGATGGTATTTTCCTTGAACATCGCAGTCGGAAACGTCTCTTTGCATCATGTGTCAGTGAATTTCAATCAGGTGATGCGCTCCTTGGTACCAGTAGTCACTATCTGTATGGGAATGATCGTGGGCAGAAGATTTACACGGCGTCGGATACTGTCTGTTGGACCGATTGTTCTTGGTGTTGCCATGGCATGTTACGGAGATATGTCGTATACATCCATCGGATTTTTTTATACAACAATTTGCGTTATAATTGCTGCTATTAAAGTTACAGCAGCCGGAGAAATGTTGACGGGACCTCTAAAGCTCCACCCAGTGGATCTTGTAAGTACTATATATAGTAAGGAACTTGAAAGGAACTTGAATGTTGACACTCTGATTCGGTATTCTATTCTGCTGTGAACAAAACTTAATGGATTTATTCCCGCTTTGCTCTCTCTATGTGTAACATAGCTTTGTCACTTGGCTCCACTAGCAATGGTGCAATGCATATCGATCAGTTTTGCTACTGGTGAAGTGTATTCGATACTACAACGACCAGAACTCTATCTTACAGATATACGGCCAATGGCAGTCGTACTACTCAGTGGCATTTGCTCCTTGTAAGTGTGAGCTGCGTGAGCGATTCTGGTTTGTATATAGATTTAAGCGTTCGCTTTGCCTCGAGCATTGTACCCTGACATTGATTCAATTTTTGTTCCTGATACTTTAATTAAATGGGCTATCATAGTTCTCTCAACATCACAAGCCTCATGGCTAACAAACTTACGTCGCCTCTAACGCTCACTATTGCTGGAAATGTGAAGCAAGTACTGATGATTGTGCTATCAACGATAATTTTCTCGACCTCTATAACACCTATGAATGGTATTGGGATTGTAGTTGTGCTGTTTGGATCGAGCATATATTCGTTCATTTCAATGAAGGAGAAAAGCGACCAATCGAAACCCATGGAGGAATCGCAGTCATCAAAACCAACACCCCTTCTAAGCTCATGTCAAAGCTTCAACAAGTTGGACGAAATCTGTGCAGAGAAGTCGTCAAACTCAACTGAGGATCCCAGATCTGTATGATCGACATTTCGTCTTATTTGGATTGAATCTGTTCGCCTCCGACAAAAAAGATTGGCTTCTGCACTATTAGCCAAACGTACCGCCAGTGTCACTACAGACTACACACACTGCACTAGTTTCTTTTTATTTTTATAAATGCTACTATGCTGATGCATGTTGGGTGCTAGACCATGCTGTTTCTTGACTCTTACTAGACTAGAGCTGACTTAAACAGTAAAATAATGGGTTGCTCCTTGATAGTGCCGTACGAGAATAGATGGTTTACAGAAGAGAGAGGTTATTCACTAGCTTCTCGTGATTGTGCGTTAGTCGCGCATCTACTTCTCGCCAAAGTATTATCTCTGGAATATCACTTGCAACACTTTGATAGATCCATTTCATCGTACCAGAATTCCAAATGTAACTCAAGGTAGTGCTTTGCTTTACCTCTTGATGTGTACATGGTGAAGAAAATTGAGATAACTTTTTGAATCCGTACGTACCCATACCTGTACAGTTACGTAGGCGAAGAGTGATAAAGCTCGTCCTCCAAATCGTTCAGACGATTGTATCGGCAAGATTACGTACGTACTCGTCCAGTACCGTATTGTACTTCCGAACTCATACAGTACTCTTATTGTTCTTACCCTACGCTACGGTACCCCAAGTACTTGGATCAAAAAAATCGCGCCAAAACGCCTACGGAGTTATCCAGTTGGAGCAGTACGTACMGTAGGGACAGTACGGTATCTAACCTTAAAACAGTTGTTTGCTTACATTCAATACAGTACGAGTAGTACTTACCGGTTCGTCCGGTACCTGGAACTGCATCGACGGCACCTCTCGTGACAGAGCAGAGCTACAAAAACTCTTCCTCGTATCGTACCGTACGGTACGGTACGTACTCGTTCTGTACGTAGTACCAAAAATGTGCTAGCTGGTTTTGTAAGATTTTTGTTGGTTCTTGAAGTTCGGTACCGGTGCGTACCAGGGCAGCAACTACGAGTACTCGTTCGATACAGAACCAGGCCCATGATTACTATGAATAAGGAACAAATGCGATCTGAAAAGAGTAGTATGCACGGTACTTTTGAGACCATCGACCATCATCAGTTTTCGACCCTTCCATTGACATGACTACTCCTTCCAAAGATACACCGCCTTGTGTCGAACCCGCCGCTAGGAATAGTGGGTCGACTCCTAGTGAGGAGACAACCTGCCACATGTTACCCTGCAACATAGACTTTGAAGGGATGGCAAAAACACACTTGTTTTTCAAGCCTGTTCACGTAGAAGACGGGATTTTCGCAAGCAGCTTTCGGGGGAGAGGGCTTCTAGCCACACGGAAAGGGTTCCGCGATGAGGATAAGACTGGCGGGCATCATCCCTATTTATTGTCCTTGGAAGACAATCAGATCGAAGTCAAGGCATCCATAAGCAACATGATGGAATGGCAGCATGAACACAATCTCAAATCGATCATGTATAAGGAGAACGATTCCAGCCGTTTGCAGGTTGCCAAAGATTGGATGGAACTTTCGGATGCAGTAAGTCTCACTGGATTTCGAACGGCTGAACGCAGCATTATTTGATCCGTGACATCGTACACCTCACTTGGCCCATTGCCTCTTTTGCTGCAATGCCAATTGCACGAATGTTTCCTGAACAGTTGCACGAGCCACTGCCATTGGAGTAGTTAGAGATCACTGCGAAAAACTCTGTCGGGGTTGCGATTTCTATCCAATTATGGAATCGCCATCGAAGAAGTGTTTGTGTCGACCGGTCATTTTCGAATGCAATGAAAGTTGGGTTTTCTCAATTCCACTGACGAAGGACATTGGAGTAGATGGAGATCACTGCGAAAAACTCTGTCGGGGTTGTGACTTCTATTCAATTATGGAATTTGGCATCAAAGAGGGGTTTGTGTAAACCAGTCATTTTCGAATGCAATGAAATTTGGGTTTTCTCGATTCCACTGACAAAGGAAATACTATTACGGTAGTCAACCATTCTTTAAATGTATTGTTATTTTTGTTTTCCAGTTCTGGTCATTGATTAAAATTCCATACAGCATGAGGAAATTGTAAAACAATGCCGTACCGTTTTGACCCGTGAGCATCCCATCGGGTGCTGCTTTTCGTTGATCAGCGACTCGAACACTGGTCACCGCAGCATGTGCAGCAATCTTCGTCGCAAGCGATTGCCCCGTCGCAATCAGCTCCCAATTCTTCGAGACGCCCGAAGGGTCGTCTCCTGCTGCAAATACTGGACGACACGTCCCCCACCAACTCGTTGCCCTGCAGGTTTAGGATCTGCAGCGTGACGATATTTCCAAACTCTGAGGGTATCTGCCCCGTCAAGTTGTTGTCGTTCAGCCACAACTGGACCATGTTGGCCATCGAGCCCATTTCGGTAGGGATGCTCCCCGTGAGTTCACAATTCGAGGCGCTAAAGGACGCAAGACTTCCCGCGTCTGCGATCGAGGGAGGGATGGTACCCGTCAAACCCGGATTGTCGTCTACCCAGAGCTCTCGTATTTTTGGCAGGGAAGAAACGAATTCGAGGTTGTCTTGCAAGAAGCTAAAGCCAGCGTACAGGTATTCGAGATTGGAAAGCTGAGTAATTTCAATCGGGAGCGACGAGTTGTACGCATTGCCATCCATTGCCAGATATCTGAGGTTGGAAAGATTTTCAAAGGTGGCACCGTTCAGCTCACCGAAGTACAAGTTGTACGAGACGTCCAGCTCTTTCAATGCGGTCAATTTCCCGAGCGCCGTGGGAATTCCCTTGTATTCGAAGTTTGTCGTCCCAATGTATAGATATTCCAGGTTTGTGAGTTCACCAAAGAAGCTGTTTCCCTCGTCGCCGACGTTGTGCACCATGTTGTTGTAAAGGTCGATCGTATTCAGCGTCTCGTGCAGCAGGGCAACCTCCGGTGGAAAAGCTCCCGTCAGGCCATTGGTATCCAGCTGAATCTTGAAAATTCTGCCCTGGTCGTCGCACGTAAGACCGTGCCAATTAGTACAAACATCTTTCGCGGATCCCAACCATCCACCACTGCTGTACCATCCCGGAAGAGCCAGGTCGAGTCCGTAGTGAACATCCGTCCATTCGCTCCTGACGGAGAAGGTAGCATAGTAGATGCAGGCCAGTGCATAGAGCTGGATGGCCTGCTGCTCCATGGTCATGGTGCTGGAGTCATCGACCGGGAGGTTTTGGGTCAGTACCCACTGCTTAGCGCGTGATTGGTAGCTGTTAGGATCTTTGAACTCTTTTCCGCCGTCGCGAGCGACCTCGTCGATCACACCGGCGATCTCTCGGAAATTGGAGGCAGTGGGACCGGGTGAGGCAGTGGGCACGCTTGCATACTGCATGGATTCAGGCGTGGGAGATGGAATATGATTTGCACCTACACTGTCCTTGTCAAGTTTTTCTCTTCCGGCGAAATGGCCAACACCGGCAGAACCCGCTACGTTTGTGCTGCTGGTGCTGGTGCTGCTCGAAGATTCGGCCTCCTCTACGGATGACGATTGAGGGGCTACCGTCAGATAAGCCCCCACGGCTCCACCGGTTACCAAGACGAGGGCCGCTACCGCAAGATAAATCTTGCTGCGACGAGTGCCGAAGCAGCCTCCCTTGGGAGGTCCCAGTGATTGGTTTGGGTTGCTGTCTAGACCGTCCATATTGTATTGCGAGTGATCCGGATGAGGAACGGGCAATGATGCATTGGACAATTCGAAACCATTTCCATTGCTGGCACCGTTTCCGTCGTTATCTATAGTCAGCCAGTCTCCCATGTTGGTTGGAGCGGACGCGCACGTAGGAAATTTATGGATTCTATGATATGATTCTATTGGACTCTCTGTGAGCGTTGATGTATTCACTAAAAAACGGGAAACGATGAGTTGTAGCTATTTGGTTCCTTGCTATTCTTCGAGCTCCGTTAGAAGCATTAAGGACGTTCGATGGTGCCAGTTTTGTTGATCGGTCGACACTTTGGTCACTGCATCGAGTTCGGAAATTATTATGCCGTTGACTCTTGTCTGCAGAAAAATGTATTCCTTTTATCGGAGGTGCGCAGGAATGTGGTGGGTACTCGTACTCGTACTCTTACAAAATGCGAAACTATGCTTCATTTTTTGTCGATCGCATTGTTTTCAGCTACGAAAACGTTACATTGGGAAGCTGATACACGATTTGATTATTGCCCCCTGCTGGCATTGAGTCCTAGCCCCGGGCCAAGCCGACAATCTCCGTGGAGGCGATTTGCTCTTCTACTACAGCAAAGAAGTACTTCTAGTCTTTATTCGCCTCAGTATCCTATCTTGCATTTCCTGACTGCAGGTACTGGATAACTTGAATCAATTGTGCCTGCAATAAGTGCAACACTTCTTACTAGCAAAGAATCACCAACAGCAGCTGCTTTAGTTGTGATCTTGCACAAGTACTACTAGTAGTACTAGTATTACCACCATGAGTACCACCAGTGGTGGTTGTAGTAGTAGTAGTTTTTACTAGTAGTACTAGTAGTAGTACTAGTAGCAGTACTAGTACTAGTAATAGTAGTACTAGTAGTAGTGCGTTACTATGAGTTAGTTTGGCTTCTTAATAAGCATACACCCTGACACCAGAATGAGAGATCCAATCAAGGGGCTGGTTGAATTTCAATCTGGCATCGCAGGTGCCCTGCAAGCATCTGTTAGCAGCTCTTGCCAAAGCAAAACCAATTCTGGATCTGACAAGGCCACATACTTCAGAGTAGTTCCTTCCCCACTTGGAAGGGGGTTGAGACAAACCTTGTACTGGTTTTTTTCTAACTACTAAAAACTATGTGTTTCATGGTATTCATAGCCTGTCTCAGATTCATGTCACACATTTGCCTTCGTTCCTTCTTGTACTAGTAGTACTACCTCTGTTCCTGGTGCTGTGAATTGTGTTGTGACATGTGCTGTGACGTGTGCTGTGACGTGTGCTGTGACGTGTGCTGTGACGTGTGCTGTGAC